GTACATTTGTAACTTACTCGGTATCTTTGAAAAATAAATGTTATTATCAGATAGGTAGAGCGTTCTTACTTAACCTTCAAAGAAGAAACACACAGAGGGTATAACGCTTCTGTCTGAAATCCCGGAATGATTAAAAAATAAAACACAAAAAAATGTTTAACTCTTCTTCAAATATATAAATGTCGAACAGGCCCAAATAATATCTCGCGAACTAGAACTAAATATACATTATGAGAGCCTTTTCATTTGCCTGCATTAAAAGACGAAAGAGAAAGCGCCAACTATTTTGTTTTTGATTTTTTTATGTGCGTCCAATCTGCTATGCAATCTGTTATGTGCTTCTACAAGTATGATATAATAACTTCTAATTATTATACCTACTTGCTATTACGCAATAAGCTGACAACTCTGTCTACTGTGATTAGAAAACGGTTATAACAGTCATATGTTACATTTTGCAGCACACGAAGTAAGTGTACCATGCAAAAATATACAAGAGTGGAGCGCAGGAAAGTTGTGTTTTAATAATCAAAGGAATCAAAGTAAGCGGCGTGGAAACATCAAAATAACGAAATACTTATTATAATGTTCACTTTTGATTTTATACACGAACCTCTCCCCTCTGCCACCTTACCTATTTCAGCCGCCAAGATGTATGAGATGTTATTTTTATTGATTTTTCTTATTATTTTGTTACAATGTGTGGGTATTTGACCTCTAACTCATCTGATTTTAATGTAACAGTTTCTTCTTCCAATTCTTTATAGAGAATTTCGCCGTTCAATCGTCATGTATCTTGGACTTAGAACATACAGAAAGCAATACCAATTAGTTATTCACATTTACATCAATATGGTGCACCTAATAAGCCCTCAATTAAGAAACTGAACACATAGAAATTTCATGTTTGGTTAGGTAGTATTTTGATTTACTTTTGGATTTCGTTAAGTGTTTTCTTGAGGTATTGTTTTTCTAATGGGGCTGATATGTCCAATAAAGATTAAAGCCACTAAATAAATAAAGAGTAAAAAGACACCAGAGATATAGATATTTAAATTTTGTGTCATGAGACTACGGTACACCTATAATAAAAAGTAGAAAGATGAGTGTTGAGCAAATAAATAGAATTAGGCATTCATTTTACTACGCTGAGGAGATGTGTAAATAAAGATATCGTTTCGGTTATTTCTTCCTGCCTGTTGAAGTGGAAAAATGGGAGTAGAAACACAAATAAGAAACCAATAACACGATACGGCAAAAGTATCCTTTATGAAATATTTCCTTTTTGAGCCATTTTTTTTTAATCAATCGATTTTATGATCGGGGGTAGATACTTTTTAAAAAGTAACAAAATTTTGAACATTTAAACCGCTTAGTGCCACATTTTTTTTTTCTTATTTATGTAAATGTGGATAAAATTAATATTTAACTCTAATTATTTTACACATTTTTATTGTTGAGTTTTGCAAAGTCTAAAAGATTTTGCTAGCGAGTACGTATTAGATTGAAAGTATGTGTAGCAGGTGTATCTAGTTGACGTGAAAGCGACCAGTTAAGGTGTTGTTATCACATTGCTCATTAGGTGCAGCGTAGATTCCGATACGTCAACATTTAGATTATTCAACGCAAGAAAATCTATATAGATGTACTGTTCAGAATTCTGTTGTCACATCTCCTACGCTCATCACTCATGTGCGAGTCTTTTAATTTCTTCTGAAAACAAATTGAAATCCGTTGTGATAGTGATATTTAAGCTCTTCGTGCTAACTTTAAACCGGGGATTTGTTGTCAAATATAAAAAGAAATAGTAGATTGTAAGACAAGTGCATAAAACGCGTCATTTTGCCCGAGACGAGTATATCCGAGTGGATACTTAAGTCGAGGGTAAAATGGGTTTTATGAACGAATTATACACTCTGCTATTCACTTCGATTGCGAGGAAATTAAATAGCAATATTACAAATAAACGATTATTTAATTAAAATTGAATGTAAAATTACAACAATTAGCCATATTTAATGTGATGATTTTTTTATTTTATGCACTAGAATGTAAAATCATATTTTATGCAGCCTACATCCAGGATAAATACGAACTTTAAGGGCATGAGAAGTGAAAACGATACTGTATTGATAAAGACTTCTATGGGCGTTTATTTTAGGTCCATTTTTGTGTATGTTATAAAAACTTTATCCACATATGTTTACAAGTGGTCATAAAGGTTAAGTTACGTACATTTATAAAACAACTTTTCTTGGCTTTTACAAGAAATTAAGTGATACTTGCAATAACGGATGATAACGAGAACTTTTAGTAAGAGGTTTATCTTCTATTCTATTTTTAAAAAGAAGGATGGCTTCTCTTTTAGAATTTTGCCAAAAGGTTTTTCTTGTCTTGTTCCAGTTCATACTAGAAAAGACAATTGCCAT